GGGGTGGGGAGGGGTGGCGGTCAAAAAAAGGTACCTGTGCGCCACAGCGGCCCCTTGTGGCATCCCCCTGCCGCTCGCAACACTTGAAAGCTCCAAGGCCTGGGAAAACGTCCGATTGCGTAAATGCTGGAATAAAGTTAATTTTCTATTGAACAATCAGCAATTGGCGGTTTCCCACCTCCCCCGCCAGCAGCTCGTCCCTGTGGGCCACCGCTGTCTTGTGGTACTCCTCCAGGGAGCCGCGGCTGTCGACTGTGAAGGGGTCCAGCTGCTTAGACCCGCAGTCGAGGACCGCCTGGGGCGTTTTGTTTTTGTAGTGGGAGGGTCCATTGTTGGAAGATGGGTTTGTGTTTGGTTTGAGTGTCAACAGGGGGTCGAGGCTTTTGGTAGCCATGCCAGAGGGAAGAAGGGGAGTGGGCATGGCAAGGCTGGAGCCGAGTTCCGCCGTGGGCGGCCGCTGCACCCCCATCAATGGAGCACTCGTGCCAGCTCGTCGACCGAGCAACCACTCCCCGTTCTGGGCCGACGGCATCACTCGAGAGACTCAGCGCGACGCCCGCTCCCGCTGTCCCCAGACTCTGCACGCCCCCCAAAGACGAGCCCTCGCCGCCGCTGGCGTCGAGTCACCCGTGATGATGTTGTCACTCCTGGTGACGCGGTTCCCGCGACGGTGTCACCAGGCACCCACCTTCCTCAGCGTGAAGCGCGCGGCGGGCACCTGCTGCAGGAAGACCCTGGCAGGGGCACCCGTCACCACAGTGACGGAGTGACCCCGCGCCACCAGGTGCTTGCACACCTGGGATTGCGGGTCACGAGGGACGCACAGGAGGCATTGTGCTGTGAGGATTGTGGTGTGTGTGTGCATGTGCACGTGTGTGCGTGTGTGTGCGTGCATGTGTGCATGCCTGGGCGCGCGTGTGCGGAAGGGCAGGTGAGAGTGGAAGGCGGTCGTCCGGGCTGCAGGGCGGGCAGCCGCCTCGTGAGAGGCCAGCAGGAAGGGGCCGCTGCCAGACCACGCGGTCGCACAGAGGGCAGCAGCCGGAGTGATGCAGGGGACCTGGTTGCACGGAGGCCCAGCGCTGGCAGCACGGGCGGCTGGCACGACGCGCCCCCGCCACGGCGGGCCCTCGCGCCGCCGATCGGCGCGCCGGCCGCGGGCGCACCTCGATCGCGCGCGTAGCGTGGCCGAGGCCGTGGCCAGTACAGTAGTAGGCGATGGACAGCGGCTCGAGCGTCATCGAGACGGAGCGCGCCAGCGGGGGCGACAGCGCTGCGGCAGCGTGCGCAGCAGCGGGCGGCGAGGCGCCCTGCTGCGCGGCTGGGGCCGGCGCCACGGCCGTGGCCGCTGGTGCGGCCATGGGGGTTGGTCGCTGTTCCTTGTGCGACGCGCCTTAGATGCGTCTGTGCCGAGATCTGGATGCGAGTACGACCGACCCCTCGTGCGTTGCGACTCAGTCCACTGGCAGTTTATGCAATGAAAGTGTTCAAACCTGTGATCAGGATACCGTAGCAACGAGACAGCCCGAGATGCATACGTCGTCCGTGGTCAGGACGCGATCCTGTCAAATATATGACGCCTTGCGCAGCGCCACAGCAATGTTATACACTGCCACAAGTATCACAACTCGCCGGCCGTGTTGCAGTCTCCCATTCGACCGGCACATGTCATCGGGTCACCCTGGTCGTCACCCGCACCCTCACGGGGCATGCGACGTCACATGCCATCCCCTGGCAGCCCCGAAGCTGGAGCACAACTCCGCGTTCAGCATTGATTGGCGGCTCCAAGGCGTGGCGATCCATACCACTGTCGCCGCCACTCGTCATCTTCCGCTGCCCAGGGCGGCGCCAGCCAGCAGCAACGTGCCGTTGCGGGCAGGGCAGCCAGGCGGGTGGGTAGAGCCAAGGGGAGCCCGACCACTTACAGCTGAGCGATGCCGCATGTCTCAATTGCACTGTAACAGGCGAATCCCCGGTAGCAGATGCGCACTGCCAACCGGAACAGGAGAAAAACGAAATCGCCAGCGCACGCGCCTCAAAACGCAGCGGCTCAAGCAGGACTCGAACCCAGGCCACAAAGGCTGGCGGAAGGCATTCTTCCACGGGCGCACCAAGCCACGGGGGGACCTTGCAGGACCCCTCGGCCCCCTCCCTCCTTCGCCGCCAGCACCGGTCTGGGGCTGTGGACGTGGACTAGGGGCCCCAGGGCCAGCGGTGACGGGCACGCCTCGCGTTGTGGGGGCGGCCAAAGTGCAGGGCGATACTCTGTGCTCGTATGGTGCAGCCGTGTTGCGCTGCACTTGTATGAGGGTCCAGGCATGGAATGATGTAAGCAAAGGCAGTGCAATGTGTGGCTGGTGGCCAGAAGCAAGGGCAGCACAAACGTGCCAGAGAGCAATTGTGCCAAACCATGGAGAAGGAAGGCGGAATTATCAACAACACTGCTTGATGCTTCTGTGAGCCATTGACCGGCTGGGCGGGTAAGCGCGGCGCGCGAGGACCGTAGACTGGATTGCAGGCGACCGAACGAAATCAAGGGAGGGGGGGGGGCTGCCGCGCACAGCGCACTTGTGTGTAGTGCAACGCATGCAGGCAGGACCAAAAGTGGTAGGCAGCGCCGCTGGTTGCAGATTGACACCGCATGCCTGCCTCCTCCGGGGCATGCGCATGGGCACTCAAGCAGGCGAGCGCGCGCGCGCGCGCCAAAACGCCCGGAGAGCCAAGGTGGCGTATGGCGAAGAGGGTGGGATCGCCGAATGCCGTTTGCATTGAATAAAATGCAGGAGAGGAGGGAAAAGGCAATGTATGACATGCCCCGCGGCTAGGCGAGCGCCGTCACGGCAACGGGCTGCGGCGGGCTTTCGGTGAAATTGTCGGCCGCGGCAGGCGCAGAAGGAAGGGGTGCGCGGCGCGCGGGCGC